GTCTTCGGGGGGGCGGCGGCGGGGGCCGCTTGGACACTCTCGGGAGTGAGAAGGGAGGGAGGAGGAGGAGGAGGAGGAGGAGGAGGAGGAGGAGGAGGAGGCGAGCACGGGAGTTCCCAAGGATGAGAGGGCGAGCGTGCGGAACTGACACAAGCGGCCAGTGGTTGGCCAATGTGTTTGGCTTCGCTGGCCGGCTTCCGGGGCCTGCAGGAGGGCCCGACGCTTTCCGAGACGGCCCCCAGACCTTGCTTGAGGCATCATCTTAGAGCCTGCTGGAAGCTAGTCTCCCTACCAGACTCTCAAAGCCTCGGGCAACATCCTGCGACAAACCCCGCGTGCGCCCAAGAGCGCCAAGAGGTGGCCAGGAATTCCAGAAGTCCGGGTTCCCGGCGCCGAGACCCCGAAGGGGCCCTGAGGGCACCCCACTCAGTGCCCGCAGCCCTGCTGCGGCTTCCCAGCGGTGATCTGTTGTGGCTGTGGGCAGACAAGATGGGGGACGGCAAGGGTAGCCCATCGCCCCACGCCCGTCAGGAGCCTGCTTCTCTCTTCTTCTGGCGAGAAATAGGGGAACAACCAGTGACATAAACATATAGCGTGGTCTTGGCTGCCACTGCTCTAGGCTGCTCTGCGTGGTCTTGGCTGCTACTGCTCCAGGGGAACAACAAGTGACATAAACATAAGAACTCGGAGGTCCGCGCGGATTTCCCGGATCGGCGCTGGGGCCCCCCGGCGGCGCCTCCGGCGCCGCCCCTGGCGCGCTCCGCGCGCCAGGGAGGGGGGTCCAGCGCCGCCGATCCGAGAAATCCGCGCGGACCTCAGAGTTTTTATGTTTACGTCATTTTTTTTTGTTCCCCTAAGAAAGGGCGTGACGGGGCACGGGGGGGCCGCGGGGGAGGGGTGGGACGGGGCTACATTCCCGGGCGGCGCTGCCGCGAATCGTGATGTCATCAGGGGAGCGGTGGTGGCCCCCAGTGACTGGCAGAATCGCGAATAGCTGATGTTGCAGCCAGTTGCTGATGGTTTCCTTACCGCCTTGTGTGACCCCAGTTCTTCCAACAGCCGTGTCTGTCATGATCAGTCTGCCCTGCCCTGGACATATTTCGGTCACATGTAATCGTTACTTGTAGCTCGTTGGTCTGGCAATGCTTGGCACAC